TCCCTGTAGCCCCAGCTGGCCTGGAACTCACTATGTAGACCAGGCTTGCCTCGAACTCACAGAGATCCTCCTGCCTCTGCCACCACGCCCTGCTAATATTATTATTTATTTTTTTTTTTTGGTCTTTTTGAGACAGGGTCTCCCTGTAGCCCCAGCTGGCCTGGAACTCCCTAGCACAGAGATCCACCTGCCTCTGCCTCCTGAGTCCTGGGATCAAAGGTGTGAGCCACCGTGTGTGGTTTATTATTTTTTATGTGTCTGAGCGTTTTGCCTGCATGTAAGTACACCTGTGTCATGCAATGCCCATGGAGGCCAGAAGAGGGCATCAGATCTCCTGGAATTGGAGTTAAAAATGGTTGTTAGCTGCCAAATGGGTGTTGGGAACTGAACCCAGGTCCTCTGAAAGAGCAGCAAATGCTCTTAACTGCTGAGCCAGCTCTCCAGCCCCAATGTTACTTCTTTTTCAAGGCAGGGTCTCTTGTAGCTCAAGCTGGCCTCAAGCTCATTTTGTAGCCAAAGATGATCTTGAAATCCTAATCTTCCTGGTTCTACCTCCCAAGTGCTAGGATTACAGGCAGTGCGACCACATGCAGTTTATTCATGTTGAGGATAGAACCCAGGGCTCTGTGCTTGCTAGGCAAGCACTCTACCAACTGAGCTACCTCTTCAGCCCCATGGCCTTTGGACATGTCAAAAGATAATAATCAAATCACCTGCTCGGACACTCCATGGTTCCCCATTACCTAGGGATCAAAAACCCCACCCTGGCCTCCTGCTTTTGGGTCTTTCGGAATCAGATTCTGCCATCTACCTTGGCCTCGGGCTGACACTCTGCTCTTATGCCGCCTGCTCTCCGCAGCCCAGCTGTCCTCTCTGGGCATGCCCAGTCCCTTTCCACTTTGGGCCACTGCCCACATAGTACACAATCCCTGGCCTGCTATCCTCTGCCTCTAGTCTCTGTCATTTTTTGCCTCTGCCTACATATTCCTCTAAGGCAAAGTCCCTTTCAGTCCCCCAGGAGCCTTCCTCTGTCCCATCTCCTGTAGCTCACAACTCACACTTCTCTGGTGCCAGTGGAAGTTTCCTGACACCTGTTAGTGGCCTTTGTAGTCCTGCCAGTCTCTACCCTCGGAAGGGAGCTTCCCAGGGCAAGGACTACAGACATCTGCCCATGTGGAATCCCCTACCTACAGCAGAGTCTGTGCTGCATGCATGTAAACACTGAAGGAGAGCAGGTATGGGAGGCATGTGCCAACCTTGGGACCAAAGGTCTTCCTCAGAATCATCAGGGGCTTGGGAGATGGGGGGCTTGGGGGAACCTTTTTGGGGTGAGATCTTTGTGGGGGGCATCTGGAACAGATCAGGGTAGACTGTCAAGTGAAAACCATGCTGACTGGTTGAATGAGGGTTTAGCAGTGAGACTGGGGTCTGAGTGGGAAAAGCCACATGGAAAACGCCAGCAGGCAGAGCAGGAATGGGGGTGGGGGGGCAGGTGCTGAGAGTGCAGCCTAAGCAGAGGGTGGTCACCCACCAGTCCTCAGAGACTGATCCTGGGTCACCTGCTGTCCTGTGAACCCCCTGAATACAGGTGGCAGCATTTCAATTGTTAGAATCATTCCACAAAAGCCTGTTACTCCCCTTCTCATAGGTGGGAGTGGGGGGGAGGTGTCACGTGCAACTTCACTTCTAAAAAGTTCATAGGGCACCTTCTGCCCCAGCCTGAGGGGACAACTGAGCTCTACAGTGTTCCAGGTCTTACTCTGACTCCTTCAAACTACTAGGTTGGCCACAGTCAGGAAGAAGGGGAGGGGCCACATGCTGCCCAGGGGAACAGCATCTCTTCCTGGGCAGAGTCCCAGAACAGACAAGGACCACAGTCAGGACTCTTGGGAGTGTGGGCAATGCCTATGATCCAATGGTTTGCCTAGTGTCAACTCAGAATCCTCCAGCAACCCTTACCACTCCTGTCTGCAGATTAGGGAAGAGGGGGTTGTCGTAATTCCACTGTAAGGCATAGTCCTGTTGACACTCAGCCAGGCAGCAAGGTGTTAGAATGTGTGCTGACCACAGCCCCACCCTGTCTACACAGCCTGGAAAAGGCAGGGTACAGACCCAGCCCACTGGAGGAGCCCTGCCCCAGGGCTCCCACTGTTCAGGGTGCTGGGCCATGACTAGTTGGGACACGCCTAGTAAGTCCATTCCTACTCTACAGTGCTACATCCTATAGCACTGCCCTCGCTACCTCAGGATTCTCCTGGCTGGGGGTCCAATCTTCCTTCTTTTTGGTGGCTTGAGCTCCCTGAGATGGCTCCTCCGTGGGCGGCTGGGGCTCCGCTGAACTCTCGGGCTGCGTCTGCACTTGAGGCTGAATGATGATGACCTGAAGGGTGCAGAAGGGATGAGTTGGGAGCTCAGGGAGGGGCAGTGGGAGGGTTAGGGTTAGGGAAGGATGAGACAGGGAGGGTTCAGGGAAGGAGGGGAAGCCTGGAGGCTCAGGTGGGGCCTGAAAGACCAGTCACAGAGGAACAGGTGGCTTGTACCTGCTGTGTCCAAAGCCATGCTTCACAATAGCTTTTTCCCCCAATGAGAACATTTGCATGAGGGCCAGCTGGGATTAGGAAGTAGGTAGGCCTGGGCTCAAATCCTGTCCCAGGTGTCTCTTCACCCTCAGCTCAAGGGCAGGTACACTGATTTTGGGAAGGCTCAGACACATATCCCTTGCCTCAGGCCATCAGGTTAGGAGGCAGAAGGGCTAGGATGCTTTCAGTTCTGACTGAGGGTGCAGCCTGGGAAAATGGAGGGACGTCAGCCACAAGCAAGCAAGTGGGGCAGTCTGGCACAGCGTACCACAGGATAGAGTCTTAAAGGGAAGCAGAGGCAACCATGATTCTCTAAAGGCCTCAGACAGGGCGAATATCAGAAATCTCCAGGGGACACAGGGACAGGGTCTTCTGGAATCATCCTAAGACAATAAATCATGAATTTTATTTCTATTCAGGCACCTGGGGCACAAAAAGTTTCTGACCACCTGACTCTGCCAGCAGAGATGGAGCGCCAGTACTGGGCTCTCTTGCAGCTATGGTTCAGTCTGTGTTATTAGTTAATTATTTTAATATTAGTAAATAGTAATCTAGTCAGCCACATTAGTTTTATCCCATATTCTTTCACCTTTACCCTTATACATTCACACATTCATTCAGCAATTACCATTCACCCTAACATTAATTCATTCACCCCTCTTTATTCCTGTAGATTTGCTCCTTCAAACACGTACTCATGCTCCTCTACTCACACCTCCTGTCTATTCACACCCACTCATCCTCTTGGTCCCCCTTTCACACTCCCTCCACATACTCCTAATTCTGACATCTTTGTCCTTAGTCACGTGACCATCCCACCAACTAGCTACTCCTTGGCTTCAGCCCTGTGAGCAACTGCCTCTGAGCCTCAGAGCACAGTGCATCCTCTGGTGGGCACTCACCTTGCTGTCGGCACTGATGAGTAGGGGCTGCACTTTGATGCTGTCATTAGCCACGGGCACGGTGGTGCTGGGGGTGATGGCGGCGGCATTGCTGGGGGAGGTGGAGATGATGGCGTAGGCTACCCCCGCGCTGCTCAGGGGTGAGGTGATGGCAGTGGGCTCAGCGAGGGCCTGGGGCTGGCTGCTGGGCGTTGGCACATGGTTGACGGTGTTGTTGGCAGTGGGAAGGGCTGGGCTGGGGTTCTTGATGCTGACCACAGTGGCCTTTTGGAATGTTGGGGTTTGCTTGGGTGGCCGGTCCCTGCCCGGGGTGACAGGGAGGCTGTCTGGAATCAGAGTCTTTGGCCTAACCTGAGAGGAAGGGACCAGTGTGTGGTCAGGCAGACAGACATGGTCTGGTGATGAAGGTATGCCCTGAGCAGACCCGGCTCAGATCTGGTCCATATTAGTGGGGAAGAGACAGCACTCACTATGACCCCACTATGAGTCTCCCAGGGGCCACAACTTTGACCCTGAGGCTTTGGAAGCTCTATCCACCACCTCTCTTGTCCCACTGACCCCCACAGGGCTCAGGGGGCAGCTGCTCTAGGCCAGAGAAGGACCTGGGAAAGTCCAGGTGAGGAGCAGCTCCATCACATTGAATCCCCGCATGCAAAGTCCCTCCACATCACAGGTGCTGGGAATACTGCCCTCGGGCAGGACCTGGTGGACCACAGAGCTCTTGTGCACCCCTAATGATCACAGTGTTGGCTCTTGGGCCTTGGGTGCCAGTTACTCTAAGGAGCTCCCACAGGGAGGTATAACATGGGCTTTAGGCTGCCACCATTCAGTGGAAGCCATGCCATGTCTCTGGTCAGCTTGCTTGGGGCCAATCCTGGCTCTTAGGGGACCTGTGTAGTCTTGAGGACATCTGCTAAATGTCCTCACCTGTGGGCTAGGGATAATGGAGCCCACCCATGATCTACAGTAGATGACAAGATACACATCATGTGGTGGTTGTCAACAGTCATAAGATAACAAGTGAGTACCCCAGGCCCTATCCCCTCAAGTGAGGTCACTCAAAGCCTAGGTGGTCCAATTAAGATGAGGAGAAAGAGGCTTGAGAAAGGACACAAGTTGAATCACATTGAAGCCATGAGGAGGGTGTCCTGGTTTTCCATGGAGGGAAACTGAGGCAACTGAGGAGAGGCTTTCTCAAGAAGGGCGATGTGGTAAGGGTCCTGGTCACTATGGCAGAGGGACCCGAGCCAAGGCTGCTGAAGGCCACAGAGCCTTGTGCTGGCCCTTCCACCTTTCCTAGCTCCAGAGATACTGGGGAGCTTCTGTAGGATCCTGTCTCTTGGGCAAGTCACCAGGACTCAAGTGCACTGTGGTAAGCAGGCATTAAGTATGGGAGTTATTCCGCTGCCCAACATAAGCCAACCCTTGATCCTGGTGGTCTTCCTGTTCCTTGCTGCAGTGGGCCCTCAGCAAACCAAGTCTGCCCTCCCTACCTCAGGGGCCGTGCCACAGCCAGGTACCATGTCCAGCCTGGCTCAGGTGAGTCTGCTGCTCTGTCCTTGTCCAGCATCAAGACTGGTCCCCAAACACTAGGCAGAGCACAACACACACTGGTGTGCAAGGCAAGAGACAAGTCCCTCTGTCTCTGCCACACTTTAGCTGCGGATGATGCCTGAGGGATGGAGGGGAGATGCCATTTTATGCTCTGCCAGCTCCATTCCTGGACCCCCACATTGTAACAGTGGCCAAGTGACACTCCCTAACCCAGACTGAACATGGTCAGTGGCTAAAGGACAGGTGCCAGACATTATAGACAACCCAGCCAGGCTTGGAGTGTGGCTCAAACAGACCACCCACATCAAGGAAGCTCCTGGGAACCTCAGGGCCTGCCTTCCACATTCCCCAGAGCCACATGCAGACCCTGGCTAACAGATCCCTGTGCAGCAGCCTCAACCTGCCCCCATTTCCTTTCTCAGGGCCTGGTATTCTACCCCTGCAAACTTCCTAGGCCAACAGGATGGGTAGGGGTAGAGGATTTGGGGAGGGGACATTAAGGCTGAATGGGAGACAGAAGCCCAGGAGTGACGAGCAGGAAGAGGAGGCTGGACAGGCAGAGCAGAGGCCCATGAAAAGGGAACAGAGGGAGCCATTGCCTGGGAATGAGAGTCTGCGTGGGACAGGGCGTGGGGTGGACTGCTGGAGGGTGGAGAACAGGGGGAGGGGTGTCTTGGGAGCAACAGCCCCAGAGGAAACAGCCCTGACCTTGACAGAGCCGCTCCTGTCCTCCCCTCCTGAAAAGCCTGTGCAGCTGCCCTCTGCCAACGAGGGAAGGCCGAACACTGTGGCCTTGTATTACTGTCCCACGCCCCTGCTGTTTGCCCCTCAGGGCGAAGCTGTAGCTCTGTTCTGGCCTGAATTCCTGCCTTGGTTTTTCACTCTGTACCTTCCTCCTGGCTGAAGCTCACCCTTCTCTTTGGTTAACGAGGGAAGGCCGAACACTGTGGCCTTGTATTACTGTCCCACGCCCCTGCCGTTTGCCCGGCAGCATCCTCACCTCATGAGGACTGGTTCACACACTCCCTACCCCAGGAGTGTTTCAAGACTCCAGCATGAGACACTGCCTCAGAGCATTCACCAGCCCTGCATCTCCATCCCCTTGACAGTCCCTGAGACTCTGTGTCCAGGGGGGGCACTTTGAGATCTGGCTCAGTGGGCACTTGGGGGAGGGCACTGTCTCATAACAGGGGCCCAGGATAGCTTCCCCCCTTTATGCTGGAGCCAGAAGCATCTGTCCAGACCCATAACTCTGAGATACACAGGTACCATCTTTACCTCTGCAGCCTACAGCCCCTTTGCAGGTACGGTGCACGCGGCAGGCACTCACCAAAGCGGAGTCAGTGATAATAAAAGCGACAGTCAATAATTGCCAGGTCTCTAGGTGTCTGTTACATACACTAGGTGCAGGTATAAGCTCTCCCTTCACCCTCAAGGCCAACAGATACAGCAGAGAGCCAGTAGCCCCTCTGCAGACTTGTTCAGAGTAATGGAACGTGTCCGGGGGGTTGGGACCCAGGGTCTGCACCCCACACCCACGCCGCCTCCCAAAATGAAGTGCTTGTGTGGAGTTTCTCAGATCCTCTGAATGAGCATCAGAAATACACGCCACCTGTGACCCAGCATAGGCCGTATTTTGAGAACCAGGTTGCATAGCAGGTCTATTCTAGTCCATTCTAGCCAGGCTTACTTCATTATGAAACAATTATGGTCACGACCCACTGAAGGATTTGACAATTTCTTGCTGCTTGAAAAAACAGATTTCGGGGCTGAAGAGATGGCTCGGTGGTTAAAGCATTTGCAGTTAAACATGAGGACTAGAGTTCAGATCCTCAGAACCCAAGTAAGTGCCAGGTAGCCATGGCAGCCCACCTGGGAAGGTGGAGACTGGATCTGCAGAGCAAGCTGGCTAGCAAGACTATCAGTGAGCTCTGGGTTTGATTGAGAGACCCTGCCCCAATGAGTAAGGTAAAAGAGGATGGAGGATGATTCCCAGCATCAACTTAGGTCCCCACATGCAAGTGTGTGCACAGATATCTTCATACACATGCGAAACATGCATAAACACACATGTATACCACACACACATGAAAATGAAAAAACAATTCCTCTGTGGGAAAACTCTGGACCAAATGTGTCCTCCAATGAATGGACCCAGGAAAGAAAACGCTGCATGAGGGACAGACCCGGGGCAGAGCTGGGGACTGACATGTGGACAGACAGACGTTTACCTGAGGTAGCACTGCTGCTCCTTGCCCGGCCAACCTCTGCAAGGAGCTGACCTGAGGACCCGTGACAGGCACTGCAGTGATGTGGCCCAAAGCCTGAAAGACAGAGAACAATGAGCAGACAGATGCAGCTGGATGCAGAGTACAGACGCACACAGCCTGGGACAATGGTCTCGGGACAGGAAATTCTACCTTTGCTTTTCCTACAATTTTTAAATTATTATTATTATTATTATTTGGTCTTTTGGAGACAGGGTCTCCCTGTAGCCCCAGCTGTCCTGGAACTCACTATGTAGACCAGGCTGGCCTTGAACTCACAGAGATCCGCCTGCCTCTGCCTCCCAAGTGCTGGGATTAAAGGCATGCGCCACCACGCCTGGCCCATTATTTATTATTTTTATTTTACGTGTATGAGTGTTTTGTCTTCATGTATGTAAGGGCACTGTGTCATACAATGCCTGTGGAGGTCACAAGACAGCGTTGGATCCCCTGGAACTGGAGTTATGCATGGTTGTTAGCCACCATGTGGGTGCTAGGAATCGAACCCAGGTCCCCTGCAAGAGCAGTCAGTGCTCTGAACTGGTGAGCCATCTCTCCAGTCGTCTTCTTACAATTTTTTTTTAATCACAGAAGTAGACTATTTTTATCAAGAAAAACTGGAAACTAGAGAAAGAAAAAGACCAGCACTGTCCAGAAAACATCACCCTTACTAGTGTAGCTTCCTTTAAAATTAATTAATTTATTTATTTATTATGTGTATGTTTTGTCTACATGTAAGTGCAATGATGCATGCAATGGCCTCGGAAGCCAGAAGAGGGCATCATATCCTCTGGAACTGGTGTTACAGATGGTTGTTAGCTGCCATGTGGGTGCTGGGAATCAAACCCAAGTCCTCAGCAAGAGCAGTCACTGCTCTTAACTACTGAGCCATCTCTCCATCCCTAGCTTCCCTTTTAAAGTAAAGTTTTATACAGGGTGACAGGTTTTGTTTTTGTTTTTGAGACACTTATAGCTCAGGTTGGCCCCCACTTTACTATATATCGAGGATGAACTTCTGATCCTCCTGCCTCTGCCTCCGAGTGCATCATCACATCTGGTTTATGAGGTGCTGGGAATGGAACCCAGGGCCTCATCCATGCTGCACAAGCTGTCTATCCACTGAGCCACATCGGGAGTTTTTTCTAATTGTACTTAGGGTCATATGTGAGACTTCCCAATGTCACCATAAGCTTTGGAAGTCATTCTAATGGCTACAGAGCCTGCCATGTGGCAGGTACGATGGTATTTCCTCAGCACCTCTGCCATCTAAATACATGTGGTACTTCCTCAGACTTCTCTAACTTGTACAAAGGCATTTCACTGGCCCTGTTGAAAGCCTAGCTCATTTTTCCAGCCGGTAGGCAAAGCCGTAGTCACCGTCTCTGTGGATGAAGCATGGGCACACTGCCGACTGCCTCCTCTGCTGAGTCTGGAAATGGGGATTAACAGGTCAAACCAGCAACAGTTTTCAGTCCCTGTACAGACAAACTAAAGAAGAAAACCACAAGCTCATTTCAGCAGATGCAGAAGATGCTAGAACTAAGAAGTGAGGTTAGCTGGGTTGCTGGACACATTCCTGTAGACCTGTCACCACCACTCGGGATTTGAAATATTTATAATTCCGTATACAATAGCATTAGAAATATTTAGGGATAAATTTGACAACAGCTATGTAAGATTGGCACCAAAGATAACAAAAACCACATGGGAGGTTTTGTGGAGGGGTTGGGGGATGGAAGGAAGGGGTTCCAAAGGGCAGGGGTAAACTTCTGGAAGTGAGGTATGGTTCGCTCATTGTGTGAGAGGGTCACAGGTGTCTAATACACGTCAAACTCCAAAGACTACCCACTCCCTCAGCCAGCTTCCCATCCTGGACAAGAGAGCAGAAAAACCCACCTAACAGGAAGAAAGCGCCCTTCTGGCTGATCCAACCACAGCAACTCTGGGCAAGTTACCGTGTTATACCTCAACGAAGCTGTTAAGCGCTCCCCAAGTTTCTTCTTAGCTAGTACCCAACACACACCAGAACCAGTACCACCAGTGCCAAGATGACAAGCAGAGGACCTCAAGTCTGAGCCGTTTCTCCAGCACACGATGGGACGTCATCTGCTTCCTCTTGGCCACCTGCCCCATGTGGTCAGAGCTCTGAGACACTCGCCACCTTCCAGCCAGCGGCTATTTCTCTGGTTGGAGCTGAATTTCCCACAATGACTGGATTGCACTTTCGTCACTGGTGGGAAGTGAGCTTGGGGGCACAACCTCCTGGAAGTTCAAGCCTACAGTCTCCACGCTGCTGGGAGAAGTTACCAGCAAACTCTCTGGGAGCAGGATGCTGGCACCTCGTTCCTTCTAGGCATGGCCGGGTTCTGCTCAGAACATTCCTGTCCGTCTCATAGACAGCCCATCCTTACCATTTATGTAAGGACGCTGTGTGTGCTGGACCACACCTCGAAGGCTACACAGGCATACATCACTCCACCTTATAAAGTGCTCAATAATAAGTAGAAAAGGCATTCTGTCTGGCAAGGCCTGACCTCACTGCTCTGCAAAGAAATTTATCGATACAGCAAAAGCAATCATCTCAGAGGCCAGATCATTTAGAGTCGCACTTTTGTCAAGATAAATGAGCTGATGATGACAACATTTACAGCTCTGAGAATTTTAATAGGGAAAAAAAAGGGCCGACTTCAACTTTTTCCTCTTACTAGCTGAGTTCCTACAGACGGCATGGGAAATAGAGCAGCCAGCATGTGGCAGGGCAGGTCGGAGGAGGCAGGCGTTGGGCGGGCCCTTCCTTCTTCCGGCCGAAGGTACACATGGCTTTGGAAAAATCTGTCTTTGGTGAACAGTTCCAAATATCCAGGGGACTCAACCCACGAACTTCAGCAGGGACAAGGGAGCAAAAATGGGCCTGACAGGGCTCAGTCTCGCATGACGTGCCAACTGTCAGTGGGCACATCCCAGCAGGGGAGACAGGCTTCAGGAGTGGGCATGACAGCCTAGTCTTGGATGACTTGGGAATAGAAAACCGGTTGATCTAACGAGATCCTGGGGGTGGGCTGGCCAGGGAAGGCAGGGCAGGACTAGCTCAGCCTAACAGCTCTGCAGTGTCCAAACTCCTATAGACTCCTGGAGAGGTGATGCAAGGTGAGTGTTGGTGGAGATGGGAGCCTGGTGCTGAGGGCTGTGCAGGGAGGGAAGGCAGGGCCAGTGGGGTCCACAGTCTGGCTGGCAGGTGGAGCAGAGGCTGGGATGTATACCATGGCAGGGGCAGCCAGGGTGAAACTGGGTCACAGGGTTGACCCTTCCTTCAGTGCACAGCCTCATCACATGTGTGTGGGTTCGTGAAACATTGCCACACCAGGTAGAGATGAGGGTTTCTGTCCCTTGGGCCACCTGACCCTCCTGAATTGTGCTAAGTGGCTGTGATCACTGTGCTCTGAATGAAGACACGGGTCTCACAAGGATAGGATGCCACTGTCCCTCAGGGCTGAGCGGATGTAAGCCCTGCTGTCCCAGGGCAGACAGACATTCGCCTGAACATCAACTTCCCTGCAGGGGATCCTGGGACCTGATCCCGAGCACCAAGCATTCCAACATGTTCCACGTAACATCAGTCAATCTGTCTGGGGAGGGGGTACAGAGCACAGGACACTGGATTCTGGGCCCCGAGGTATTCACTGAGTGTGGCTCCCAGAACATCAGGAATGGAACCGCCAAGTCTCTGTTTCTCCATCTGGTCCCCCAACATCTAGGACAGCGCCCACTGAGAAGGCCACGGCTGGGGCTCTGGCTTCCCATACCATGAGGCGCTTTCCTCCTTCTGGAAGGGTGGGAGGGTGGAGAAGCCAAGTGGAGGACAGCGGCCTCCTCCGCTCCCCTCCTCAGTGCGCACAGCCACAGAGCGCGGCAGTTTAATTGCTTCTTGGTTGTGATTTTCCCACATCTTTACAGAACTGCTGTGATGTGCGCCACAGATAACAAGTGAGCTCCGGCGTCAGTAACTGCTAATAAATATTAATAGGACATAAGCACGACTTTGACTGTCATGGGAAACCAGTTTGTTATTCGCAGATGAAACCCGACGGTTCCCTTTATCACTGTTGGGAGGAGTGAACCAGTCCCTACCATGCTGCGGGCACCAAGTCTCAAGGCCTGGCCCCTGCACCCCAACTTGGTGCCCCCACTCTTGCTTCATAGACAAAGAGCCTCCACTACCTCCAGCCTGACCAGTACTGCATGAAGTTTGTGTAAAAACCCAAGGGGACTAGTTGGCTGCCCTGCCTGCCCCAGCCCACTGTTCACAGCCACGCAGGACCAGCAGCTGTAGGCACACTGGCAGCATGTTAATGTCCATCCACTGACAGTGCAGACACCACAACTGCCTTGTCTTCAAGGCAGAGAAGCAGCACCGTCTTCCAGTCACCAGGAGAGTGGGAGGCACCCTGCACGCAGTGCTTCAGGCCATTCAGATGGCTCCACCGCCTCTAGGTCTTAAGCCCTTCCAGGGACAGATGTGCACCGTACACCAAGGCCACTATGTAGTGGCAAATGGGGGAGGGGCATGCAGATGTGAGGAATTCACCCATGCTGAGAAGGCCCATGGGGCTGGCCAGTGAGGTACATGCTCAGCACACAGGACACACAGCAGCAGCACCTGCATCCAGGAGAGTTGGGACAGCGCCATTGTCCCAAGACAGGAAAACACATCACCCAGAATGTTCCAGGCCTCTCAGCAGTCAGAAATATTAACCAGACTCAGTCACGTCCTCACTAGAATCTTGGGCACATACTCCACCTACCCACTGTACCACGGGACCATGCATGGTTTAGTGACATGCAGCCAGGACAAATGGTGGGAGGGAGGAAGACCCCTCCCTGTACCTGCTGCCCTTCAGAGACACGAGCAGAGGCTGAAGCAAGCCCAACTGAGCCCACTGGGTGCAGAGCGCAGGGAGGCCTGTTACGGTGCTCTTTGCACACTGACAGCTGGCAACATGCACTGGAGAGAGAGGGGCAGGGAGGATTTCTGCAGGGGCGGTATCTGAGCTGGACCT